GTGTAGCCAGGGGACGGTGAAGGTTTCTTTTAAATGTAGGATCGTCAATATGTACTATCAATTGACGTATATATCAATTATCCTCAATCAGAAAGGAATAGATATGAAAATATTAAACAGGTTGTGCTGCTAAATAAAGAGCTACGCTGATCCACGCTGGGCAATGCATATTGTAAATATTTTTTTATATATATTTCCGATTGTACTGCCGGTTAATTCATCAGTCAGATGCAATTGTATTTTTTTTTCATGCCGTATATTATCATGATAAACTTCGTAAGGGTTCCGCGGAACCCAGTGTCTCGCCTACTTTTGCTGTTAATCGCAGGCTCAACAAAAATAAGGAAAAAAAATAATAAAAATATTCCTCTCTATACTATCTTTTGATTGTAATTAAGTAGCTTCTGTCCAAGTTTGGTAAAAATCCAGGATAGTTTATGAATCTAATAAATGTTTTAAAAACTTAAACTGCAGACTGTATGTAATGTTAACTGGAATAAAAAATAAGACCATTTATAAGTAAAATACGGAAAAAATGGAACAAAATTTTAACAAAATTTCCTTCTAGATACTAGCTTTTAATCATAAACAAGCTTCTGTCCAAGTTTGGTACAAATCCAGGATAGTTTAAGAAAGTTGTTAAAATTTTAAAAACTTGAACTACAGAGTGGATGTAATGTTAACTGGCAGAAAAACTAAGTCCATTTATAAGTAAAATAGGAAAAAAATGGGAATTTTTTGTTTACAAAATTTACTTTTGGATACTATCTTATGATCATAAACAAGCTTCTGTCCAAGTTTGGTAGTTAACTGGCAGAAAAACTAAGTCCATTTATAAGTAAAATAGGGAAAAAATGGAATTTTTTGTTTACAAAATTTACTTTTGGATACAATCTTATGATCATAAACAAGCTTCTGTCCAAGTTTGGTAGAAATTCAGGATAGTTTAAGAAAGTTATTAAAATTTCAAAAACTTTAACCACAGAATGAATATTTGTGGACGCCGCCGCCGACTACGACGACGCCGACGGAATGTAGGATCGCTATGTCTCGCTTTTTCGACAAAAGTCGAAGGCTCGACAAAAATGACCAGTTTTCATGTTTTTTGTACACAAAACTAAAATGCTTTGCCCCCCTGAACCCCCTACCAGGGCTCTGCCCTGGACCTGCCGGGGGCCTTAAGCGGCCCGGCCCCCTGACCCCGGCCGCAATTTGTGCCTACAGTTTATTGGATACCTGGCTACGCCCCTGATCATACCTTAAAACATTTATTACTATAGTGTAAATTTTTTAGTATACAATCACAAAAGGGAAGGCTGACGGAGGCACCTGTTGCAGGCATATATATCGTCAAATGATCAGTTTTGAAATAAATGTATTTACGCAAAAAAAAAAAAAGAATCCTTGCTATTAGCACGATGACATAAAATTTAATGTACATTTTAAAACTCCCTGTAGGCTGGGAACAGTATATCTGTTCCTTCTGTAGGCAACTCGTCCAATCTCTTGCATGCCTTTATTTGAATTTCATTTCAAAATTTTATTAAAAAGAGAACAGAGGCATTTAAAAAATAAAATGCTCCGCTGGGCGCAGCTTGATACGACCGCAGAGGTCGAACCCTGAACAGTTGGGGCAAGTATGGACACAACATTCAAGCTTGATACAGCACTGAATTTGGATTGTGATTAAATATTTGACACAGCATAGGTTTCTGACACAGAATGAATGTGGTCTAAGAACTTAAATTTTTTTTAATTTACCTATTCAAACCATATCATTATTATTTGCTTTTATATATAAATCAGAAATAACCAATTTAAAATGGTCAATTTTTTGAACCCCCTTATGATTCATCACCCCAAAATCAATCCCAGCCTTCCCTTTGTGGTATGGTACCTTGCAGTACAATTTGAGAGAGATCCATACACTTGAACACAAGTTATTGTCTGGAAACTAGAAAAATGCTTGTTTTTTGGCCCCTTTTTGGCCCAAAATTCCTAAACGTTTAAGGCAATTACCCCCAAACTCAAACCCAGCTTTCCCTTTGTGACATTGAACCTTGTAGTACAATTTCATAAAGATCCATACACTTACACACAAGTTATTGTCCTGAAACTAGAAAAATGCTTGTTTTTTGCCCCTTTTTTGGCCCCTAATTCCTAACATTTTGAGGCAATTACCCCCAAAATCAATCCCAGCCTTCCCTTTGTGGTATGGTACCTTGCAGTACAATTTCAGAAAGATCCATACACTTGAACACAAGTTATTGTCTGGAAACTAGAAAAATGCTTATTTTTGGCCCCTTATTCCTTAAACGTTTTGGGCAATTACCCCCAAACTCAATTCCAGCTTTTCCTTTGTGATATGGAACCTTGTAGTACAATTTCAGAAAGATTCATACACTTACACACAAGTTATTGTCATGAAACTAGAAAAATGCTTGTTTTTGTCCCTTTTTTGGTCCCTAATTCCTAAAATTTTGAGGCATTTGCCCCCAAAATCAATCTCAGCATTCCCTTTGTGATTTGGAACCTTGTGGTACAATGTCAGAGAGATCCATACACTAACACACAAGTTATGTCTGGAAGTTCAAAAATGCTTATTTTTGCCCCTTTTGGCCCCTAATTCCTTAACTGTTAACCCCCAATACCCAGTACCATAAACCCCAAAATCAATCCTAACCTTCCTTTTGTGGTACGCCAACGTCATACCAATATACGACCGCAATATAAAAACAATTTACATTAAAAATAAAATGCTCCGCAAGGCGAAGCTTGATACAACCTCAGAGGTCGAACTTTGAACAGATGGGGCAAGTATGGACACAACATTCAAGCTTGATACAGCTCTGAATTTAGATTGTGATTAAATATTTGACACAGCAAAGGTTTCTGACACAAAATGAATGTGGTCCAAGAACATAAAAATTTTAAATTGGACATTTACCTTTTATGGTCCAATATACAAAATATAAATACATGGTTTGATTCAGCATATCAAAGAACCCCATATTAAATTTTTGTTGAAATGAAACCAAGTTTAATATTGAGACCCTTTGGACTGTAATGTAGACCAATTTGAAAACGGGACCAAAAATTAAAAATTCGTAAGGATTCCACGGAATCAAGTGTCTCGCCTACTTTTGCTGTTAGTCGCAGGCTCAACAAAAATGGGGAAAAAATTATTAAAAATTTTCCTCTAGATACTATCTTTTGATTGTAAAAGTTCTGTTCAAGTTTGGTAAAACTCCAAGAAGGTTTATGAATCTAATAAATGTTTTTAAAACTTTAACTGCAGACTGTACGTAATGTTAACTGGAATAAAACTAAGTCCATTTATAAGTAATATACGGAAAAACAGGAAATAAATTTTAACAAATTTCCTTCTAGATACTAGCTTTTGATCATAAACAAGCTTCTGTCCATGCTTGGTACAAATCCAGGATAGTTTAAGAAAGTTATCAAAATTTGAATAAAATGCTCCGCTGGGCGCAGCTTGATACGACCGCAGAGGTCGAACCATGAACAGTTGGGGCAAGTATGGACACAAAATTCAAGCTTGATACACACTGAATTTGGATAGTGATAAAATATTTGACACAGCATAGGTTTCTGACACAGAATGAATGTGGTCTAAGAACTTATAAATTATTAATTGACCTATTCAAACCATATCATTATTATTTGCTTTTACATATAAGTCAGAAATAACCAATTTAAAATGGAAAATTTTAAAGAAAAAAAATCCCTCCCCCAAATTTGTTGAACCCCCTTATGATTCATCACCCCCAAACTCAATCTAAGCCTTCCCTCTATGGTATGGTACCTTGCAGTACAATTTCAGAGAGATCCATACACTTGAACACAAGTTATTGTCTGGAAACTAGAAAAATGCTTGTTTTTTTCCCCTTTTTGGTCCCAAATTCCTTAACGTTTAGGGCAATTACCCCCAAACTCAAACCCAGCTTTTCCTTTGTGATATGGAACCTTGTAGTACAATTTCATAAAGATCCATACACTTACACACAAGTTATTGTCCTGAAACTAGAAAAATGCTTGTTTTTTGCCCCTTTTTGGCCCCTAATTCCTAACATTTTGAGGCAATTACCCCCAAAATCAATCCCAGCCTTCCCTTTGTGGTATGGTACCTTGCAGTACAATTTTAGAGAGATCCATACACTTGAACACAAGTTATTGTTTGGAAACTAGAAAAATGCTTATTTTTGGCCCTTTTTGGCCCCTTTTTCCTAAACGTTTTGGGCAATTACTCCCAAACTCAATTCCAGCTTTCCCTTTGTAATATGGAACCTTGTAGTACAATTTCAGAAAGATCCATACACTTACACACAAGTTATTGTCATGAAACTAGATTTTTTGCCCCTTTTTTGGCCCCTAATTCCTACAATTTTGAGGCAATTTCCCCCAAAATCAATCCCAGCATTGCCTTTGTGATATGGAACCTTGTAGTACAATTTCATAAAGATCCATACACTTGAACACTAGTTATTGTCTGGAAACTAGAAAAATGCTTATTTTTGGCCCCTTTTTGGCCCCTTATTCCTAAACGTTTTGGGCAATAACCCCCAAACTCAATTCCAGCTTTCCCTTTGTAATATGGAACCTTGTAGTACAATTTCAGAAAGATCCATGCACTTACACACAAGTGATTGTCATGAAACTAGAAAAATGCTTGTTTTTTGCCCCTTTTTTGGCCCCTTATTCCTGAAATTTTGAGACAATTACCCCCAAAATCAATCCCAACATTCCCCTTGTGATATGGAACCTTGTAGTACAATTTCATAAAGATCCATACAATTACACACAAGTTATTGTCCTGAAACTAGAAAAATGCTTGATTTTTGCCCCTTTTTGGCCCCTAATTCAAGAACTTTTCATAAGGGGGGGCCCCATCCAGTCATGCTCCAGTGATTCCCTATATAATCATGTAAATATGGGTAGTTATCAGAAAATTGCCAATCAAACAAAATAATTAGAAAAACTGAATCATTTTGCTTTCTTTTAATTTCTTTGGCCTTTAGCATTTCAGTTTTGTCTCACCAGCACCTCTGTACATAGCCTAAATTTTTGTTTATTACTGAGTTCCTGATCGATGATATCCATTATTTCAATTAGAACTTCTGGAACAGCTAGTGAACATCATCTAAAGTAAGACCAAATCTTTGTAGACCACTATCCAGTCTATCTCCAATGCTTGGATTTACCCCAAATAATTCGGATGTTGGTGTATATCCCGAGCTCATGTTATCCAACATTCCCGACATCCATATTTGTGATGGGGACATGTGTCCCTCAGACCTAATCTTGTGGCCATTCCAGCCATTTCTGAACTCTTCCAGACTTCTGTTTATTGCTGGCAAATAAACATATTGTAGGGCCGAACGGTGGATCATGTTGTCTGGGTCCAAATTTATCACTGGGTCCTCTTCCATCTGACAGAACTCATTATAAAATTTGGAGGTTACCTGGGTATACATGTCCCTCCATAGCCTCTCAATCCTCTGATTGTGCACCGACTTGCCTGTGATGTGGCTAGTTCTTTGCCTGATCAAATTCATAAACAAAGCAACTTTGGTGTTTTCTCCACCATGATCTGACCTGACTCTGCTTGGTACACCATACGAACAGCACGCGAACACAAAAAGCTGTAGCACAGTAGATGCAGTGTTGTTAATACCACATCTCAGGAAGGTGATGAATCGACTGAAACCATCAATGCAACCATGTGTAGCAAATCCCCATCTAAAAAAAGATACAACACACAAATTAATATAAATTAATTAAGAAATGGCCGAGCTGCACAGAATTTTTCTTTAAAAAAGAAAACTGTCTTGAATGAAAATATACATATATGCAATCGGGAGATAACTAGTCTCATTGGCAATCATACCGCATCTTCTTTGTATATGCTTTGCAATACAACTTCATTATCTGAATTTTGGCTTACTTTCGGCTGGTTTTGGCTGCATAAAGCTTCCCTCGTCATTTTATTCAATTTTGATTCCCAAATGTTTTGGATATAAGTATCACTGACGCTTATTTAATATAGTTTGTACATGTATGATAAAACGTATATATCTGTAAATGTTGCAGTAAAATCTGACTAATAAAGGTTTTCCGCCATACGTGATGCAGACCTTACTCCATAGCGGTCAATCAGTGTATGGTGAAGACCGTAAAAAGGCGTAAACGAATTTCAGAAATAGGTAGCTTGCTGTTCGGTGTGAGCCAATGCGAACGTGTTGAAGACCGTACCTTGACCTATAATGGTTTACTTTTATAAATTGTAACTTGGATGGAGAGTTGTCTCATTGGCACTCATACCACATCTTCCTATATCTATCAGTATCTTGTTAGTCAGCAAAGTATTGATAACAATATTGTTATTTCTACAAGACTTGCATGTGTTTAAAAAAAATACCTGATGAGTTTCATGTTTCCGTCCATGTGCCATAGATGATTTGGTGTTGGTACGCTGTACCTTCTTCTGTGTACTGCCGTAGACCATCTTTCAACACACCCTTCTGGACCAAGACGTCTTAAAAGATTCTCTTACTCTTTCTCGTTGTACACATATCCCTCTGGACACTAAGTAACCTTGCATCATCTAAAATTTAAAAAAAAATGCTTCACAGAAAGTGCAAGATAATTAATAATTTTATTTTTGAACAACTTTAACTAAAATATGACGTATATAAGCTATATCGATTGATATGGAGCAAAGACTGATACTTTTAAAATTTCGTTGCCATAAAAAATTCTCATTGGAAAATAATCTGAACAAGCATTTTTTAATCGAAAAGACTGCAAATATAAGTTCAAGTTGACCGAACATCAAGTTCGCAGAAAGCTCTTGTAGTTATTCAGTTGACAGAAATGCTATTTGAAACAAAGAATGAAACAGCTCAGTCAATGACTCTTTGAATCTATACTACTAAACGAAGAGACCGATTTCATTGAGTCGCAACTCCTCTGAAACCATACAAAGAAGGAATATTGGTGATATGACGTATACATGTAGTGTTTTGAACTTCCTAAATTTGTCTTTGAAACAATCTTGAAAACGCCTTTTTTTGAGAAAATATCCAAATTCGGACTCTCTCAAGGACCGATAACTCTGCATGGGAGATTGAAAGTTTGGCGGGAAAATATGAATGCCTACTCAAATCCAATCTATTAGAAAAATCAAATTATCACAGAAGAGTGTCCACCATGCACTTGCACTGCACTATTATTAATATAGTAGAATAGAATGATATACAAATGGATGAAAATTATATATACATGTAACTGTAATATACAAATATTAATATAATATATAACAACAAACCTAAGTATACTCAGTGATTTGTATCACTTCAATAACATATTTATTACGGTGACAGAGGTTGAATTCCCTGTCATTTATTTATCATCCACGCACAAACTTGTCTAAGAAAAATAAATTATATCTGTACATTAACTTCACTTTCAGGTATAGAGATGTGATTTTTTTATGAGACAAGTGCTTGTGACCATCCACAAGAACTTGCAGTCATCCGGTGTTCAGTACTTCAGTACTTTAATTTATTTTAATATAACTAATACAGGCCGACAATGGTGTTGATTAGAAATTATAAAATTCTAGTATGTGTGTTCTAGTATAAACTTTTTTTTGTGGGAAACACATGCCGTTAATACATGTATATGAGAAATATCATCATCCATGTATGTGTCTTTAAAGTCTTATTAGATATCTTTCAAATAAAATGTTCACAAATTCCTCTGATTTACGCGTCATTTTGATTTATATGAAGATAATTATACCTGCAGTCCTGCTTTTGGAAAAGAAGATTTCAAATCCAGGATTTGGGCATCTAGATCTTCTTTGGTTATGTCACTGTATCTGTTACTTAGCCCCTCGTCTTTTAATCGTCTGTATACAGATTTAGTGGAGCATTTAAAATGTTCAGCCATTTTAGTCCCCTTGAAATTGGCCCCACAAAAAGCTTTCAATTCGTTGGTAGCCATATCTATTTTGGGTCTTCCTCTTCTACCTGTAGTATATATTTTTCATTGAAAAATTACAGTTTGTTGGCCATACATATATATATATATATATATATATATATAACAATTCTGAAAGGGTACAACATCACCAAAAAATAATTAAATCATGAACAAATTTTAGATATTTCGGATAACTAATATCCTTCATCAGTAAGATGTAAAATGAATCTTATCTTGACATGTGGTAGTCAAACTGAAATAAAAATTTAGGATAGACTCTTGAATTTTGAAGAATCGAAATAGGATGAACGGATCATATAAACCCAAAGGCAAATATAATACAAGCCCAACGAAAAAATATAAACAAGTCTAAATTGAAAACAACGTTCAAACTTATTATTATATATATATATATATTTATCCAACGCAATCATAGGTTTGAACGTTGTTTTCAATTTAGACTTGTTTATATATATATATATATATATATATATAACTGTATAAAATCAGAAAGGTTGGCGGGATCATGGCGTATATCATTTATATATTATACATCCTAAGGATGAGTTTGATTCCATCTAGCTCAGTGGTATTTCTTTTAAAAGTTTACCGATTTTCATGATATTTTCTTATTCCAAGGGCCTTGATATGGTCAAAAGTATGTCAACTACACCATAAATCATAGTTTAGCTGTAACTTCCATAACACATCTATTTACTAAAAATCAACTTAACATTTGCATGTAAAGCCATAAAAGATTGCAATTTTGTCTGTTTAACCCCCTATGGTCTAATTATAGTAAAAACGGCGGCATCATATGATATAAAGTTGAAACTAGACACCCTTAAGCATTATTGTGATCAAGTTTGGTTCAAATCGGCCAATTCAAGTGGTTTCAGAGGAGAATATTTATATAAAAGTTTACAGACGTTGAATGACGGACGCAAAGTGATGAGAAAAGCTTTGAGCCAGTTGAGCTAGTACATATTTTCCATTATAAACACACACGAAATTCTAGTTTGGTTTGCTTTCGTTATAACCCTCATATGTTACGATCGTAATCAAACATGATATTTTCAATTCATTTAAATATAATTTATTTTATATCACAGCAAAATATCAAAATATAATAACAGATTCTAATAATTAAACAAGCAGATTCCATCTATAATGTGGAGATTTTTAGGTTTCATAACGAGTGAGAATGGGATATTATCAGATTCTAATATGACGTCCTTTTTGCGCATTTATTGCATTTCATTTGTTACACTTGTTACACTTTATTTTTGTTATTGGCTTTCCATAGTTTCAAAATTGCATTATTTGTCTCAATTTGATTTAATACAAATAAAAATATTTTCTTCAGTGGAAGTAGATTGAAATTCGACAGAAAGAGTTAAGGCCATTTTCCCCCGGATTTTTTTCACATGTAGGTAAATCATTTTTTTGTCGACATAGGGATAGTGATCTGGCGGCTGCGGCTACAGTGGCGTTAGCTTAGTTCTTAAAAGCTTTATATTTTAGAAGGTGGGAGACCTAGATGCTTCATACTTTGTATATAGATGCCTCAGGTTTCCGTCTGTGACATGTCCATTGTCCTTGGCCTCATTTTCATGGTTCAGTGACTACTTGAAAAAAAGGTCAGATTTTTTGTAATGTTAATTTCTCTCTTATTATGAGTAATATGATAACTATATTTGGTATGTGCGTACCTTGCAAGGTCCTCATGCCCGTCAGACAGTTTTCAGTTGACCTCGACCTCATTTCATGGATCAGTGAACAAGGTTAAGTTTTGGTGGTCAAGTCCATATCTCAGATACTAGGTCTAGTATATTCGGTGTATGGAAGGATTGTCCAACTGGCAGGTGCCATCTGACCTTTACCTCATTATCATTGTTCAGTGGTTGTTGTTTAAGTTTTTGTGTTTTGGTCTGTTTTTCTTATACTGTATGCAATAGGTCTACTATTTTGGTGTATGGAATGATTGTAAGGTGTTCATGTCTACCTGGCAGATGTCATCTGACCTTGACCCCATCTTCAGTGATGTTAGGGATCGAAACGGTACTTGGAAGGCCATATAATTTACCTCAATTGAGGAAAGACTCTTGAATTTTAAAGAGTCGGAATATATATATATATATATATATACAAGTCTAAATTGAAAACTACGTTCAAACCTATGATTGCGTTGGATAAAAACCGCAATTTTTATACGTGTGCATGCAAAAACAAATTTCTTGTTAGAGGGGTCTAAATACAGCACAAACAACATTTTCCAAAAGACCAAAAAAGTGAAAAAGTATATTTTAACAAAACGCATTTGACTAACAGGTCGAACAACAAATGTTCTTAAAAAACCGCAATTTTTATACGTGTGCATGCAAAAACAAATTTCTTGTTAGAGGGGTCTAAATACAGCACAAACAACATTTTCCAAAAGACCAAAAAAGTGAAAAAGTATATTTTAACAAAACGCATTTGACTAACAGGTCGAACAACAAATGTTCTTAAACCCTGCTGACTGCCATTGGCGATTGCCAAATAAACGGATCACAAGGTGTAATAAATGGATCTTAATTAAAAATTTAATACCAAACAGAAAACAATAAACTTGCGGCGAAGATGGTATACCGCAAACAAAGGTGCAAAGATTTTTGTACACCATATCCGGATTTCGACAATTAATGTCTCTTCAGTGATGTTAGGAATCGAAACAGTATTTGGAAGGCCATGTAATTTACCTCAATTTAAGACAGACTCTCGAATTTTGAGGAGTCAAATTAGGATGAACGGATCATATAAACCCGAAGGCAAATATAATACAAGCCCAAACGAAAAAATATAAACAAGTCTAAATTGAAAACAATGTTCAAACCTATGATTGCGTTGGATAAAAACCGCAATTTTTATACGTGTGCATGCAAAAACAAATTTCTTGTTAGAGGGGTCTAAATACAGCACAAACAACATTTTCCAAAAGACCAAAAAAGTGAAAAAGTATATTTTAACAAAACGCATTTGACTAACAGGTCGAACAACAAATGTTCTTAAACCCTGCTGACTGCCATTGGCGATTGCCAAATAAACGGATCACAAGGTGTAATAAATGGATCTTAATTAAAAATTTAATACCAAACAGAAAACAATAAACTTGCGGCAAAGATGGTATACCGCAAACAAAGGTGCAAAGATTTTTGTACACCATATCCGGATTTCGACAATTAATGTCTCTTCAGTGATGTTAGGAATCGAAACAGTATTTGGAAGGCCATGTAATTTACCTCAATAGACTCTCGAATATATATATAATAAATGTTAAGACAGGAATAGGAAATAAGTCAAGAGTATGGATAGTAATCGGAACGCACACAATAAGCAATACATTATTTTTCTTTTTTCTTTAACGAAATGATATATAGTCAAAATGATCCACAATGACTCTATGGTGCAAAGAAACATCCGAAAAAATATGATAGAAACATAACAATGCACAAAAAAAATCAAAATATCAGAGTGAGATTTGAACTCCGTCTTCATTCTAATATATATTATTATCAATTCTAAGCGCTATCGACGACGCTACGGCGACTTACGTGAGAATGTGGTTATTAAGCAGCTATATGTACAATTTTAATAGTGACGTTCCACCTTTTTTTTTATAAAAAGTTGTGTTAATGACAAAACAAACCAATTTCGTTTTTGAGGAAAAAAGTTATATATAAATTACAACAACAACAAAAAACAGAACTTTGTTTTGGTTTGTAATTTAATTCTCATGGGATTCTCTGTTTTCCTATACATGAAAACAAGGCAAATTCCGCATAATAATATATCTATTTTAGGGTTAAACTAAATATTTATCCGATATATCATAAAATATAAAAATCGAGCTTTTGATCAAAAACATTTTTATTCCTGGTTTTAATCGTAAATTATATTCTTTCAGCACTTTTTAAAATTTACGCTGCTCAGTGTGAAACTGAAAATATTCAGGGGAAATTGGCTCTACATCAAATAATAATTTGACATTGTAAGAAAGCAAAATTTATTAAGGAAGGCAAATTCGGTCTATATTTCATAAGACTGTATATTCCATACCTGTCTTAGGTCTATCAGCTTTGTAGCCAGAATTTACTGGAATATTCCTCATGTCTCTGGCAAGTCTTGATATGGATGCCAGTGACGATTGAAGCTGCTCAACAGTTTCCTCGTCTAATTCTGCTCTCCCATTTTCCAGTTTAGTTGAGGCATCTCTAATCAGGATTCCAACTTCTTCAAAATTATTAAATAGAGCGGCCCCGACAATCCTTAGCAAAATCTGATTTAGTTCATTCTTTCTTTCAGACATTTTTTTAAAATTCCGTTTGTAATCAGGGAAGGGTTATTGAATTTAAAAAAATAAACATGTCAAAACTCTTTGCTGATGATGATTTTAATTTTTAATATTAGAAAATGATTTCTTAATATTAGAAAATCAATTTCTAATATTAAAAAATCATTTATTAATATTAGAAAATGAATTTCTAATATAAGAAAATACTTTCGAATTTCTAATATTAAAAAATGATTTTCTAATATTAGAAAATGATTTTCTAATATAAGAAAAGGATTTTCTAATATTAGAAATTAGTTTTCTAATATTAGAAAAGGATTTTCTAATATTAAAAATTGATTTTCTAATATTAAAAATTCATTTCTTAATATAAGAAATTCATTTTCTAATATTAGAAATTCATTTTCTAATATTAGAAATTCATTTTTTAATATTAAGAAATCGTGCTTTTCTTTTTTAATATTAAAAAATGATTTTCTTATATTAGAAAATGATTTTTTAATATTAGAAAATGATTTTCTAATATAAGAAAATGATTTTCTAATATAAGAAAATGATTTTTTAATATTAGAAAATAGCTCTTTTTGTCCACTTTGGCTTGCCATACATTTTGCGGTAATACTGAATTGTTCATGACTGGCAAGTTACAATTAATTTTAGTCAGACATAATCACATAAGATATTTTGTAAAATGAGGCCCAGCACTGGCAGCACGGCTATGGGTAGTCCAAAAAAAATCTGACGTCTTGATATTTTTGATTTTTGCTGTTGCTACGAAGTTGGAGGAGGGCGTCCACATTTTTTTTTTGTCAAATAAGAAAGCCTTACAAAACGTCATTATTATTTGACTACGCTCTGGGTAGTTTAAATGATTAATTATGCTGTCTTCGGAGGCTTGTTTTTATTTAACTCGTGTAAAAGTCAGACCAGTAGCCCACGAGGCATGACAAATTGACACGTGATGGCAGCATGCAGTGGTGAATGTGAATTTATGCCTGTACTGTAGTAGTTAAATCTGTTAATCATGTATCCTCGTGTATTGTATTTTCGACCTACTAACATATTTCTCCGAATTTCCCTTTTATATGTTTGAACATAGACATGCCTAATATTTTGAGAGTCACTAGTATACTTGTGCATAAAATAATTGTATCTGAAATATATTCGATCTTAAATTATTTTTTAATTTGAGTTCATTAGATCGATGGCACGTTTGTTGACAAAAACTAGCGTCTTGTGTTTTCGACCTATATAAGAAACTGGTCCAAAGTCGGAAATGACATGTCGTACAAATCCGGAACTGGTTAAAATTTGATGCCAATGTCTATATCAAATTATTTAAATTGCTAGGAGGCGATCAAACTTATGACTTAATGAATTAAATGGTTACATATACAACTTTAAAATAAAAAATATTATTTTGATATCTTTATTTGACTAGTTGTACACATTTCACATGAGGCACTTTGGAAGCAAGTTTGATCTTGTATACAGTAATTTTTTTGTTCAATACTTTAGTGAAGGCATTGTGGAGTGAGTATTGTCTGTAATTTCAACTGACAGACTGTTGTTTCTGTAAATTAAAATTAATCGATATTTTATTTTTTTAGTAAAAAAGCTGTAAGGATCATGAAGATTTCCGTATTAAAAATAACTTTAAGTATTACAACTAACCACCTGACAGTCATATGACTTAATGACCTGGATGTAAACTTCACGTGCAAAAAGTCCCCCTACCATATTTTTAGAATATTTGTTTATTTTTTATAGATTCTTTTTGAAGGTAAAAATAGTATTAGTAAAAGGGTAGAAAAATGTGATATCAAATAATAAAACGTAAATACTTAATTACATTAACTTTACTTGGAGCATCTTAACCACCACGTGGTATTATTTGATATTGTTACTAATTATAGCAGCCGAATATGACGTCACGCGGACATGCGCAGCATACGGGAAGTGAATGTAGAATTAGGTCGAAAACGTAAGACGGTCGAAAACACAATACGAGACGATAAATAGACTCATGCAAATCATTCGAATGTCATGGAGAAAATAATGCAGTAATTTGTCTAAATTTCTACAAAATACATCGAATGTTTATTGATTTTATACATACCTCATAGACTCAACGCTATTCTGTAGAACTGCTCTTCTAGCATGTCTAGTGTCGTTGTTTTCCCAATTTAAAAAAGGCGGTGAGAGTATCCGGAAGTTTCGAACAAATTTTATCTAATGAAGAATTCTGCTTTAATACAAATTATTGTCGTAAATAATACATTTTCTCAATTAAAATGTCTATCTTCGAATATGATAATACTTTAGAGATGCGATAAATGGAAATAAAGAAATAAAATACGAAACTATCTAATAAGTTACAACTGGTTCCCGGTTCTACAGAAAAGAAACCAGTTATTAGAATACAAGAATTTTTTTTTTGACATAACATATCATCATATCGACAGATCGAAGATGACTTTTTGTAAATTAAAAATTAAAAGTAATTATTAAAAACAAAAATATTGCGGTGATATGGGAAACATGATTTATAAAGTTTTTCTATACTTATTAAAAAACATTTTTGAAACATTATTAAAAAACAAAATTAAAAACGTTGTTTTAAAATGTGTTATTTATGTTCATCAAAAACATTTTTGAAAAAATGTTTTTTTTACGTTTAAAAAATGTTTGCAGAAACATTTCTACTATAGTTACAGAAAACGTTTCAATTTAACCTTTTAAAAACATTTCTTAAACGTTTTTTCGACACTAACTTATTTGAAACCTTTAAAAAACGTTTCTAAAATGTTCTGTGTTTGGTGGGCTAACGTCCAATTGAGAATACTAGCCGAATGACAGTAAAATTTCCCCCTCAATGGAATTTCCCCCTCAATTAAATATTAGTCTGAGAACATGGCGAAATCTAAATATGAACAAATAATGTACACATGTCTAGGTACAGATTTTTCTTCCAGCTATACACATGATACCTGATACAGACTACTATGTACAAACGGACAAAAGAATGAAGGTCATAGAATGCAAGGCTAAAACAACAGGATATGATGATTTTTCTTCCGGGTGTCTCAGGATAATGTAAATTAGACTTAGAGTTAGATAAGAATATTTGCAAATGATTTGTACAATACAAAGCTAAAACAATAGAATCCGATGCTCTAAATTAAACTCGATCAATTCACGGGTAAACAAGAACACCAATTTCCCTAAAAATTTAGAATTTGTTTTAAACCTAAATAACAAAAGGCCATATCAAATAAATATCTTGTTCGTCGTAATCGCCGTTATTAATTTTTTCGATTTTTTGTGTATCTTGTTATATATTTCAGATCAACTTTTGCCCAGTACGTACATTCCCGGATGTTAGTGTCACGAGAATTAACAGCGCATGAATTTGCTACGGTTGGTGTGGTGTTAGAAAAAGTAACCAGAAAGGACAAGCTAGACGTGTTGAATGTTGTGCAATGATCGATGTCAGACGGGAAATTTTTTCTTTTTTTTCATGCACTTTCTTTAAGTCTTTATATTTTATGCAGGAAATATTAAGAAGAGGGATGAAATTTCATGTTTTTTAAAAACATTTGGAAGATGATTTTTTTTGGTTAAAATACTTAAGTGATTTGGTTTAGTTTTTTTTTTAAAAAGTCAATAATCAACTGTCAAATTGAATTATAGACCCCTTTATCGCAGAGTTATCTTATCAAATATTAACAGCAGTAACTGTCCTTTCCTAGATTATGTTATTTCAGTTTTACACGAGAAACTCTTCACAAAAACTGACGACAAAAGGGACGATTTTTCTTTCACTATAATTGTTAATTTCCCTTTTTTGGACGGTCATGTTCCTTTGGCACCGTCTTACGGTGTTTATATATTCCAACTCGTTCGCTATGCCCGTGTCTGTAGTGACGTTTTGGATTTCAATAAGCGTAATCTATGTATTACTGGTATATTAATAAGTCAGGGATTTCGTTACCACAAATTACTTAAAACCTTTACTAAATTATTCATAGGTACAAAGTTCTGGTTTGCAAGTTTGGCTGTATCTGTAGAAAACTTATTTCAAACGGAATAGCACATCCTAATTTTTCGGTGATGTTGTTTACCGAGCCCGGAAATTTAGATTCGATCCGGGTAAACTTATCAATTCTTTAATAAACTTATTCTTTAGGTTACCAATTCACCACTGTAATTAGATCTTTGAATATTGTATTTCTTGGTATAAATATTGATTTTGTTATCAGTAAATAAAAACCATACTAAATATTATTGTTATACACATATGCACATTCACGGTACTACAATCTGCCGATACCTATATTTTGACATTGCACAAGGTCATGTTTTTCTCTGACTGTTAATGATGTCTTTACACTAAATCCATTGGATCTTGAATGTGTACTGATTGATATTTTAGTCTTAGATACATGATTTTTTTATTAGTTGTTATTGGATTTGAACTAGCTCTCAGTAACTGCGAGTACTCTCAGATATGTACTTATTTGTACTATTTGTTGTTAGGGACGAGGGATGTATAAATTCCCTGTCATGTCCGGTCTATGTTTTTGTTTGATGTTTTTCGGCTTTGTATCGAACTGATGAGTTTTAAAAGTCCTTTTCAACTGATTTTTATATTTTTTCTATGTTGTGCCGTTACACCACTGTCCCAGGTTAAGGGGGTGGCGCCTTCAAACATGTTTTACCCGCCACATTCTTTATGTGCCTGTCCCATGTCGGTAGCCTGTAGTTCAGTGGTTGTCGTTGGTTTATGTCTGTCATATTTGTTTTTCTTAAATGTTTTGTTATAAATTAGGCCGTTAGTTTTCTCAGTCGAATACTTTCATATTTTTCATGTCGGGGCCTTTTATAGCCGACTATACGGTATGGGTTTTTCTCGGCATTGTTGAATGCCATACGGTTTCCTATAATTGCTTACATCCACTTCATTTGAACTTTGGTGGATTGTTGTCTCATTGGCGATATCTCCTTATTTTTTT